GTTTATTGACATTAAATCACAGAACAATATGTTTATTTTAGGCTCACACTGCCACAGTAAGACAGATTAAAGGAGTATTTAATCTTCCTACACATGCAAATACACACAACTGATCCCACTAATAACACAAGGCCAAGATTTGCTTGGTGTTTGCTGAGAACACATCGTATGACTTTAACAGACCTCAGACAGCCAATCAGAGAGCAGACATCTGTGTGTGTGTGTGTGTGTCAACCTGTTCCTCTGGGTACGTCTGAAGGAAGCGAGGTCTGTCTCTTTTGCTGATTGGACTGTTTGTACTTCTGCTGTTGAGGTTTCTTCCAGCACAAGTTTTGTGCTCTTCGTGTGGACACACACACACACACACACACAACCACACCACACACACCACACACACATCACACCACACACACACACTTTGAGTGAGACACCTGCAGCATGTTGCGACTACATGACCTCACAAAGCACTTTCACTGTTGTCATGGTGACCGGAGGGGTACCTGGGTATGAAGGCGCCGTTGGTGAGTGAGGGCTCGTCGTCATCGAGGCCGTCGAACAGCTGAGACTTGGAGGCCCCTGATGACGACAGCGCTTTGGGGCGGACCCTGGTCGCGGGTCGAGGGGTCAGCTTGTAGTGAGTGGGCGTGGTCAGAGCCTTCTGGGCTGTCGGATTGGTTGGTTTCAGACGCTGTCAGAGCAGAAATGTGTTAGAGCTTTAATTAAAAAGGTACAGAGACGTTGGTGGAGCCTCAGTTGGTTTGTGTTCAGCTTTCTGCGGTTGTGTCATTATTCAACCTTCATTTTAATCTGTGTTTAGCATTCATCAGTTACTCAACACAAACACTGAATAAACCAGCAGCTGTGTCACCTCCTCTTTCTTCTTGGGGTCCGACAGCTGGTTTCTGAACAGCGGAGAGTCTCCGTATGGCGAGTACGCCAGAACGCTGAGCTGCTGCTGGAGTATGGCCTGCTGGGCCGCCGCCGCATTTGGATCTGTGAGCGCTGGAGGGAAAAAAGAAAAGACAAATGAACGCTGCTCCACCCGTCCTGGGAGGTCAAACACTGACAGCTACGGTCAACATGAATGTTGGAGCTGATGGGAGAACTGGGACTGTTCTAAAATATGTGCTGGTTTTACTGGTTGTAGCAGCTGGTGCAGCACGGGGGGAGAAGGAATAGTTCTCATAAGAATTTGAGATGCTTCCTCTGTATGGTGTGATGGACTCACCGACGGGTTGCTGTGGAGCTCCGAAGCCCAGGGTGCTGGTTCCTGTGTTGAATCCGGCTGTTCCGAACGTTCCCATTGTTCCCAGTGTGGTTCCCAGTTTGTTCTGGTTATTCCCGAACAGAGACGTCTGCCCTGTGCCGACTGCTTAACACAAACAACCTTGTATCAATGCATGTGTGTGACTGACTGAAATACCAATTATCTGCTGGTTCCTGTTTCTGTTCTGATTTCACATGATTCTAAGTTCCAACTTTGTTTTCTGACATTTTATAAACTCAATGTGGAATTGAAAAATAATTTAATAAAGTCACGTAAAATAATCTTCAATAGCAGCTCTAAAGGCAGACTGTTTGAACAGAGCATGGCTCCTAAGAAGTTCACAAAAGAAGAAATTATTATTATTATTATTATTATTATTATTATTATTATTAACAACAATGCATGCTTGGTAGCTCATTTGCATCTCTTTCGTTTATGGTTAGAGCTGCACAGATTGTACAAACCCTTCATACTGCAATATTTTATTTTATTGTGAGTAATCAGTTGTGTCACAGATTGGTGATGATGATCATTTCTCTGTACCAAACAAACGTCTGGAGGTCAGGACGTCTCTCCGGCTCCACAGAACTTCATTATAACGAATCATTCAGAGATACACATCATCACACAAAGTCAAACAGCTGGAACGTAAGAACGGTACCTGTTCCGAAGCTGGTTCCCAGTCCAGCTCCCAGTCCACCAGTGGCCGGCTTGTTCCCAAACAGACTCCCTCCAGCAGGGTTTGCACCAAAACCTGCACCGAGCGACAAACAAAAATACTGGTAAATAAATGCTAACGTAGCCAGAAGCATCAGCACTGGTCCCACTGGTTCCACTGGTTCCATACGTCTCCACGCTGAACACAAACTCACCGAAGGTGGAGGTGTTGGCTCCAGTCCCCAGTGTGAGGGCCGGCTTGTTGCCAAACAGCCCGGTGCCGGTGCCGAAGGACGGGGCGCTGGTGGTGGTGGCACCGAACCCAGCCGTCTTATTCCCAAATAAACTCTGCTGTAACACACACACACACACACACACACACACACAGAAACACACAGAAACACACACACACACACAGAAACACACAGAAACACACACACACAGTTAACAAACACACAGATAACCACACACACACACACACACAACACACACAGGGAGCGCGAGCAGTAACAACACACACACACACAGTAACGTTAAAATGACATCACCCCACAGTGTAAACAGCAGATTTCTAGTTCTTTTGCTTCCACAGCTCCTGGAACTACTTTATGAGCTTTATGAGCATCTACTCCATTTTATGAAGCCGAGTGTTTTTCTGTGAGAATTGGTGAGAAAACAACCACAGTGAACTTTACAGCCTCTGGAAAATATTCTTCTAGCACAGCATCAGTGAGCACCAACAGTTACTGAACAGTTCAATCTAGTTTGCATGTTTGATGTTAAAACGCTGATTGTTGTATCTGACACACATTCTGAGCCACTGGCTGAAACTGAAAGTGTCTGACTGACTGAAGTAGTGATTGTTGTCACTGATTCACTGACTGGGACTCTGGTTTGTACCTGAGTGCCGACGTTTCCAAATCCAGTGTTGGTTTGGCCGAACAGCCCGGTGGCCGTCCCAAAGCCAGTGGCAGTGCTCGTCTGAGCTGCGCCAAACAACCCGCTCGTCTGAGACGCCGCCGTGTTTCCAAACAAACCCTGAAGCAGAGGAGAGGAAGCGGTGGGACACAAGAACTCAAGACTCCTCACATTGTTCTTCAACCTTTTCACAGCACATCAAATCCATTATCGGCCGTTCTGCCTCGTTTTCTTTACTCAGATATGACTTTACTGCACAGTGCCGTCAACGAAGCTCTGACACTGAATTTAAGACCTTCACAGAGCAACAAAGAGACTCACCATGCTGCTGGCGGGGGCCTGTCCCATAGTGTTGGTGTTTCCGAAGGAGAAGCCGGTGCTCTGTGTGGTCGTGGCCTGACCGAACGGCTTGAAGAGGCTGCCGGCTTGTTGTTGGGTCGGCTGACCGAACAGACCGCCTGTGGCTGTACCGAACCCACCGGGGGCTGCTGCTGCTGCTGCACAGGACAAACATACAGCATGTTATTCACCAGCTCTCACTGACATTATAAGGTCAATATATCACATCAGCAGCTGACTCTGGATCAGGTTCTGTTCCACTTACTCGCTGCTCCAAAGGTGCCCTTGTTCTGTCCGAAGGAGAAGCTGGTGTTGGGGGCAGAGGAGCCGAACAGGCCGGTGGTGGCGCTGGATGTGGCCGCGGCCGGTCCGAACAGACTTCCTGTCCCCGCAGCCATCGGGTTGGTCGGGCCCTTCCTGCCTGCCTGGTAGTCCTCGAGCCTCAACTCCTGCAGGGGGACACGAGATAACCGGAGAAACATCCATTGATCATCCAATCGTAACGTAACGTAACGTAATCTGTACAGAGTAAATCTGTAAGAGTCTGCGTCGGCCTTCAAACTCACCTCCAGAGATTTGTTCTCGTACTCCTTCATGGCTGTGATGCACTGGTGCTTGGTGTTGATGCTCGTGGTCACGCCCGCTTTCACCATTGTGTCACTTCCTGTTGGAGGCTGATGAAGGAAATAAGAGAAGTACGGTGAGTAAAACGTATAAATATGGTCAACTGATCATTCACACAACTACATACTCACTGAATACTTTATACACTTCACACTACAATGTTTTTATAAAAACAAATTCATAGCTGCCAACTCAACTTCAAAAAGAGAAAATGTTTTCTTAAAAACGTTCACACGGTTGTGTTTTCTGAGCAGCTCCTCCACTGCGAGCACACAGAGACATTTAGGAAGCACATGGACTCACAGCAGGAAGTGCGCCCCCTGCAGCCCGCTGTGTGTCCGCACTGACTGCCGCTAAAGTACTCACGTTGAATTTTACGGTGGTTCCTGGCTGCTGCGCGGCGGAGAACCCGGAGCCTCCGAACAGCGAGGGCGTTCCACCGAAGGGGTTGGAGGCGGTGTTGGTGGACCCAAACAGGCCGCCGCTGCTGGTGCTTGTCCCAAAGCCTGGAGGACACGATGTGAGGGAGACTTCTTCAGGCCGTTCAGGCGTTTCATTAGATAAACAAATCAAAGTGACAGCTGGACTGAGCGGGTTGGAAATACAACTGGAGTTATTCAACATTTGTTTGGTAAGTAGACACGTGTTTCTGTGGGGTTAGTTCACACTTCTGAGAACAGTGAGGAGAGAAGAGACAACAAGTGTCCAAAGAAACATTTCAAGCTGAAACTAAATTAAAACTCAACCTAAACCTTAAGTAGCTTAGCACGACCGCCACGGTCAATGTCGTAACGGACTAGCTAACTTAGCAGTTGGCAGAAGGCGCTGTGATAACGCTGCGTACACTGGGACAGCCTTTCAGTAACTATTACACTGCAACCTGAGCTTACTCTGTGGCTGACTGCAGTAACACTAACCCCTGCTGACACAGTGAGGCTGTGGAGGAACAGAAGCCTTTCTGAAACACTGAAACCTTTTTACTTTCTCTTTTGTCTATTTACAATAAAGCCAAAGTATTCCTTAACGAAGAATGGCTGGAAGAATCAGTAGAATATTCCATTACTATAACAATCTGTAACTAAACAGCCCTGAACTCCAATGTAACATGTTAATGACATGAGCTGTTACTGAGGTCTCTACTGGACTTCACTGAACCGATCAATGAAGCAGTGAGCTGTGAAGTGCGGAGGGTTCTCACTTCCGAAAGAGGTGGGTTTGCTGGCACCGAAGGCATTGTTCTGCTGGGAGAAGAGTCCGCCGGTGGTGCCGGTTCCGGTGCTGCCAAACAGGCTGGTTGTGGTGCCGCTCGCTGCACCGAAACCGAAGCCGGTGCTGGTGGAGGAAGTTGCCGGCTGGCTGAAGGTGCTGGCCCCGAACAGACCGCCTGCAGGACAACGAACAGATCAGCATTCATTTACACGAGCTGGTTTCCTGGGTCCATATACATTCCTGAGCTGGATAATAAAGAACAAGGTCTGAATGTAAAACCTCACTGCCACTGGACTGAGACCAGCTGCAGGCAGATGTGGCCTCAGCAGGTGAAACTGCCCAGACAGGAAGGACTTACATGTGCTGGACTGAGACACAAGAGCTGACAAACCAGGTTTATTCTGTGTGGCACCAAACAGTCCTCCAGCGTTGGTGGTGGTCCCGAACGCGGACGTCCCAAAGCCTCCCGCCGTCCCAAAACCTGCGTCTGCAGTTACAGAGTTCATGTGAGGACAGGACTGAGGGGTTCAATCACTCTCAGACCACAGAAAGATCATTAAAGGGTTCGTCTCAGTAACTGACCCTCAGAGAAACTACAGAGGGAGACACTCCAGATCCAAATCAACGGCAGAGAGCTGCACGCAGGGCGCTCTAGAGCAGTGGTTCTCAACCTGTGGGTGGGGGACTCCACTAGGGGTCGCCAAAACCTCACAGGGTGTCGCAAGTCCTGTTTGATTCTAAGGGTGTGTGAAAACTTCCAGAGCAGGCCTGTACGTCAGCATCAGTGAGGTGAAGTGTGTTAAGATTACAGTGACAGAGCTCTCTGATCAACAGCACAACCAATCAGCTGACAGAACAACGAGAACAGAAAGCTGACTGACAGAACGGTTCCTCAAGCAGCAGGAGAACTCGGTTCTGTTCACCTGCTGTTCTGTTCACCTGCTGTTCTGTTCACCTGCTGTTCTGTTCACCTGC